TTGTGGCTTCTCCCGTTGCGGAGCACAGGCTCAGCGGCCGTGGCTCACGGGCCCAGCCGCTCCGCGGCATGTGGGATTTTTCCGGACCAGGGCACGAACCCGTGTCCACTGCATCGGCAGGCGGACTCTCAACCACTGTGCCACCGGGGAAGCCCTACTTGACGTCTTTTGAAGCTCTGTTATTCGTTGCATATACTGAGGATTGTGCATTTTGATTGACTCCTTTACCATTGTGAAATTACCGTCTTTATTTCAGTAATACTCTTTGCTCTGAAACCTACTTTGCTATTAATATAGCTGGTCCAGCTTTCTTTTGACTAGTGTTACCAGAGTATGTCTTTTTCTGTCTTTTTACTTTTAATCTATTTTTTCTATCTTTTTACTTTTAATCTTGAACAACACGGGAGTGCTACCGAAAATCCCCATATAACTTCACAGTTGGCCCTCCGTATCTGTGATTCTGCAACCACGGATTTAACCAACCTTAGATCGTGTAGGACTGTAGTACGTAGTATGTATTTATTGAAAAAAATCTAAGTATAAGTGGACCTGCATAGTTCAAACCTGAGTTGTTCAAGGGTCAACTGTATTTATGTTTAACGTGTATATCTTGTAGGCAGTGTGTGGTTGGGTCTTGCTTTTTCTATTTACTATGACAATCTCTGCCTTTCATTTGGAGTGTTCAGACCACATTTATTTTACTTTTTTTAAAACTTTTTTTGTATTTATTTATTTTGTATTTTTTTTTGTATTTATTTATTTGGCTGCATCGGGTTTTAGCTGTGGTATGTGGGATCTTTAGCTGCAGCGTGCAAACTCTTAGTTGCGGCACGCATGTGGGTCTATTTCCCTATCCAGGGATCGAACCTGGGCCCCCTACATTGGAAGTGTGGAGTCTTAGCCACTGGACCACCAGGGAAGTCCCAAGACCACATTTATGTTTAATCACAGATCTGTAGGTTTATAGTTTATAGGTTTATAGTTTGAACATTTTTTAGCCATTATTTCTTCATGTATTTTATGTCCCCATTTCCTCCTTATTTTCAGGGTCTCCAATTACCTGTAGAGTAGGCTACTTATTAAAGTTATTCCATAGTTCACTAATACTATTTTCACTTAAAAATTTTTTCGGGGGGCTTCCCTGGTGGCGCAGTGGTTGAGAGTCCGCCTGCCGATGCAGGGGACGCAGGTTCATACCCCAGTCCGGGGGGATCCCACGTGCCGTGGAGCGGCTGGGTCCGTGAGCCATGGCCGCTGAGCCTGCGCGTCTGGGGCCTGTGCTCCGCGGCGGGAGAGGCTGCAACGGTGAGAGGCCCACGTACCTCAAAAAAAAAAAAATTTTTTTTTCTATGTTTCATTTTGGATAGTTTCGTTTGCTGTGCATCAAGTTCACTAATCGTTGCTTTTCCAGTATCTAATCTATTGTTAACGCTCCAGTGTATTTATAATCTTAGGTATTGTCGAGAGAGAAACTCACTTTGGGTCTTTTTATATCTTCCATATCTCCACTTAACTTTTGGACATATGCCATACAGTTATTTATTTATTTTTTTAATGTAAGTCTTTTTTAATGTTTTTAGTTCTCTATTTATTTTTGGCTACGTTGGGTCTTCGTTGCTGTGCACAGGCTTTCTCTAGTTGCGGCGAGCAGGGGCTACTGTTCATTACAGTGCGCAGGATTCTCATTGCAGTGGCTTCTCTTGTTGCGGAGCACGGGCTCTAGGCTCCCGGGCTTCAGTAGTTGTGGTATGTGGGCTCAGTAGTTGTGGCGCATGGGCTTAGTTGCTCTGCGGCATGTGGGATCTTCCCGGACCAGGGATCGAACCCACGTTCCCTGCACTGGCAGACGGATTCTTAACCACTGCGCCACCAGGGAAGCCCTGCCATATAGTAATAATAACTTTTAATATCATTTACTTCTAGTTCTATCATCTGTGTCATTTCTGGGTTGGATTCAATTGATTGTTCTACTTACTACGGTTTGTGTTCAATAAATAAAATACAACAATAATAGAGTGTGAAAAGAAATTAATATTTGCATTCAAAGAAGGAAAAGATAAGTAGGGCTAAGGAAGGCTTCATGGAGATGGCAACTGAATTGAGCCTTAAAATATACATATCAAGAATTCAGCTAGGCAGGAAAGAAGGCACTTGGTAAGAGAGGAGAAAGGTAAGAAAGCAGGAATAAGCATGGGCATGCTCAGAGTACAGTGCAGACGCCAAGGGGGAAATAGGAAACCAACAGCTTGGGGCATTTGCCACCTGATGCTCATAGCACAGCACTGAAGAAATATCTGAGTCTTTAAAGATTTTTAAGCAGGGCAAAGTCTCACAGCCATGATTTAGGGAGATTAACCTTGGGATCTTGGTGGAATGAAATGAAGGGGAAAGGATGAGGGGTGGGAGCAGAGGCCAGGTGGGTGGTGCTTTAGACCAGAGGGACAGAAATAAAAGATGGAGAGGAGAGGGAAGAATCAGAAAAGATGTGAAAGTCTGAATCTGTACTTCTCAGAGAACCTTAACCTTGGCTTGAAGGATGGAGGGGGGGTGGGGGTGGGGGGGTCTAGATCCAAGGAAAATGAGTTTTATTTGGAATATTGAGTCTTCTGGGTAGAGCCGTAGGACTAAAACTTAGGGTAGAGGCCAGAACCAGACCAGGTGGGCTGCCCTCTCAGTTAAAAGACCATGGCTCAGCCCTAAAGAAGATTTCTGATCTCCTTCTACCACTTGTATGATGACCCCAGAGAAAACTTGCTTAACCTCTTTGAACCTCATTTTTTTCATTTTCCAGCTGTCGAGGGTTTTGTGAGGAACCAATGAAGTAATGGACGGATGTGTTTCTGTAGTTGAAGTAAGAGGTTTTACAAAATACGTGATGATAGTTATTTTTATAATTACATCAAGCCATGTGAATGAGTAAGATCTTGGAGGAAGACAGCAGAGACAGATCAGAGATCCCAGGGTTAAAACTTGGAGGAATTTCACAGTGTAACATCCAAAAGAGGAGTCCCTGATGGAGGCAGAAGTAAACTTGAGGTGAGAAACCTTAAAGATGGGGAGTGCTTTGGGGTGGGCTCTGTGTAGAAGAAACTCAGTTGGTAAACACTCATCAAAAGTGTCTATCTAGAGTTCAGGTATGATAGAATGACCTTAAGAGTCAGAATCAACATGAAATGGAGAAAATATCCTTCTGCAGAGGCCACGCCTTTGACCTGGGAAACCCCCAGACACAATCAAAAGGCCTGAAAGGTCACCACAGGGAACTTGAAATCCTGAAGAACTGTTTGTATCCTGTCCTGAAGAAGGAGTGTGTTAACAAGACAGGGTAGTCGGCTTGGCGCCTGTTTTCCATCACTAGCTCCCAACCTCAGTTCACACCCTCATCTTTTTTATCTGGCCTCCCTCCCCCACTCTTCGTTTCCCCTTCCCCCAAGTCCATTCTCTGCATTCTCCATTTTGTTCTGAAACAAAAATCTGCTCCTGTCACTCACGTGCTTAAATCCGTTCCATAGTTCCCCATTTCCCCAGGGAAGAGGCTTCCTCCTTAGACAAGACCCTGAATCCATGGTCTGTCTCTCCCTCTCCAGTTCCTCCACATGGCACCCTCTGCCCCAGTCAGACCTTGGCAGTTTCCCACAACCACCACAGGCTCCCATCGCTCCCTGTCAGTGCACGGGATGCTTCTCCTAGGATGCCCTGCCCTCTTAGGCTTAACCTGGAAAGCCTTTGTTAAGCCCCGGCTGAGCCAGATAACCTTGTGCGTACCTTTGTCACAGCCCTGAGTAGTTGCTGATAGTCCGATTTCTCATCTTTCTCTGATGGAGAGCCTCTTGAGAGCAGGGAGGATCCGAATCTCTTTTGTCCGTACAGTCCCTTCCACACTAGATTCTCCCAAACAAACCTTGATTTCAAGTAGTCTTTCTGGTTGTCAGTCCTCTTGTCCCAATTTGGGGTCTTCAAAATACACACCCACTGTACCCTTGCCAGGGCGGAGAGAGCCTGGTTAGGAGCGCCTTAGCCAGAGCGCGCCACTTGCACTTCCCGGGGCGGCCGCCAGGGGCCGCCGGGCTCTTTGTTTTCTTTTCTGGCCCGGGGTCGGGGCCGGAGGCCTGTAGAGCGCATGCTCTGGGGCAGTTCGCGGCCGGGCCGGGGAGCGGAGGAGTTCCTTGTGGCCGACCTGCAACGAGGTAGGTCGCGCCCATCACGCGCGGAGAGTCGGGGCGGAGGGCGGCGCGCGGGCACCGGCGGTCGGCGGCGGGTCGGGGCCGTTGCCTGCGCGCGCCCGTGTCGCGCGGCGCTGGCCCCACGTGAAGCCGAGTGGCTGAGAGGTGCGGGCGCGCGAGTCTCCGGCCCCGCGGGGCCCCCAGGAGCCTGCCGGGCCCCGCCTCGCCCGAGGGAGGGCCGCGCGGCCCCTCTGCAGCCGCGCCTCGCACGCCTGGCCCGCGCCGCCCGCGGGGGCGGGAGATTCAAACGGCCCGAGCGCGGCCGGCCAGGGTGCGCGCGGCCGCGGTGACCTCGCCGCCAGCGGTGCGCCGACCAGCGCGCCTCCCGGGCTGGGGCGGCAGCTCCGGCGGGGCCGCGTTTCCGGAGCGGGAAAGTGATTAAGTCCAGCACTGGTTTGGAGAATGCGGTTTGCAGGCAGAGTGAGGCGGAACCCTGCCCGGCGAGGGTCTGCTTTTAGGAGGGTAGGCTGCTGAGGGTCTACGCAGAGAGCGAAATCTCAGCGTCAGCAGGCACCGTCACGACGACTGTTGACCGGTTGGAGAGGTGTGCCGGGAACTCCGTACCAACTCATCTGTCAACAGATTATTTACTGGCTGTCTACTCCGTGCCGCGCGTGCAGGGCTGGGGAACATGGTGAGAGGGCCCCGTGTGGCCTTGACGGAGCTCGCGGTCTCTCTGGGGAGGCCCATGTGAGGCCACACTTACGGTCCAGGGCGATCCCCGAAGTGTGCCCGTGGAGCCGCGGCGCTGCTGGCGGATATTAACAGAGGTGCTCCAACCAAGTGTGACTTGGGTGCCTCAGCAGAAGCTGAGTGTACGGAGTGTGGAGGGGAACTCGGAGGTTCACCCAAGCCTGCGCAGGAGGGTTAGGTATGGCTTTCCAGCCGAGGTTACTCTTGGCCCGGGTTTTGAAGGAACAATGGAGTTATCCAGGCAGACTGAGGATGGGCGGGGTTAGGGTAATCTAGGCAGGGAACACAGCACATGCAAAAGAATGAAGGTGTAGTTGAGTGTTGTCGTCAGGGGTACCACGGTGTTTGATTGGAGCACAGGGTACAAGGAGGGGAAGAGCAAGATATTCCTGCAGGGGCTGGGTCTCAAAATGTCTGGAGTGCAAGACCAAGGAACACTGGGTGGGGTGGAGAAGGCAGCGATGGTTTCACCCAAGAAGGGCATCAGAATGGAGTCTGGAAAGATGAACTAGGAGTTCTACATGCTCCTGTTGCGAAAACATCCCAAGAGCAGGAATAGCGTTCAGCTTGGCAACTTCCTAGTTGGGTACCCTTGGGCCACCCACCCAATCCCCATGGGCCTTGTTTCCCTTACCTGTAAGGTAAAGATACGAGGCTTGTGGTGAGGATTATTAATATCCTATTATTTCCATAAAGCTGTGGTTGTAACATCTGGTGGAAGATGTGGCCCCTTTCCCCTGGGAAAAATGTACGCACTTAAGCCAAGGCTCAGCTCCCTATGTAAGGGGGATCCCCCAGTAAGGAGTTCCTGGGTGAAGTCTACCAGCTCTGTGCCTGACACGAGACAGGAGCTCAGCAAATGTTTGTTGACAGATGAGCCTCTCTCCTCACTTCCCTCCTGGGGACTTTTTTTTTTTTTAATTTAATTTTATTTATTTTGTTATACAGGAGGGTCTTATTAGTTCTGTATTTTATACATATTAGTGTATACATGTCAATCCCAATCTCCCAATTCATCACCCCCACCACTTTCCCCCCTTGGTGTCCATAGTTTGTTCTCTACATTTGTGTCTCTATATCTGCCCTGCAAACCGGTTCATCTGTACCATTTTTCTAGGTTCCACATATATGCGTTAATATCCGATACTTGTTTTTCTCTTTCTGTCGTACTTCCCTCTGTATGACAGTCTCTAGATCCATCCATGTGTCTGCAAATGACCCAATTTCCTTCCTTTTTATGGCTGAGTAATATTCCATTGTATATATGTACCACATCTTTATCCATTCATCTGTCGATGGGCATTTAGGTTGCTTCCATGACCTGGCTATTATAAATAGTGCTGCAGTGAACATTGGGGTGCATGTGTCTTTTTGAATTATGGTTTTCTCAGGGTATATGCCCAGTAGTGGGATTGCTGGGTCATATGGTAATCCTATATTTAGTTTCTTAAGGAACCTCCATACCATTCTCCATAGTGGCAGTATCAAGTTACCTTCCCACCAACCATGCAAGAGGGTTCCCTTTTCTCCACACCCTCTCCAGCATTTGTTGTTTGTAGATTTTCTTATGATGCTCATTTTAACTGGTGTGAGGTGATACCTCATTGTAGTTTTGATTTGCATTTCTCTAATAATTAGTGATGTTGAGCAGCTTTTCATGTTCTTCTTGGCCATCTGTATGTCTTCTTTGGAGAAATGTCTGTTTAGGTCTTCTGCCCATTTTTTGATTGGCTTGTTTGTTTTTTTTACATTGAGCTGCATGAGCTGTTTATATATTTTGGAGATTAATCCTTTGTCCTTTGATTCATTTGCAAATATTTTCTCCCATTCTGAGGGTTGTCTTTTCGTCTTGTTTGTAGTTTGCTTTGCAAAAGCTTTTAAGTTTCATTAGGTCCCATTTGTTTATTTTTGGTTTTATTTCCGTAACTCTAGGAGGTGGATCAAAAAAGATCTTGCTGTGAATTATGTCAAAGAGTGTTCTTCCTATGTTTTCCTCTAAGAATTTTATAATTCGAGTCTTATATTTAGGTCTCTAATCCTTTTTTTTTTTTTTTTGCGATACCCGGGCCTCTCACTGTTGTGACCTCTCCCATTGTGGAGCACAGGCTCCGGACGCGCAGGCTCAGCTCCCATTTGTTTATTTTTGTTTTTATCTCCATTACTCTAGGAGATGGGTCAAGAAGGATCTTGCTGTGATTTATGTCATAGAGTGTTCTGCCTATGTTTTCCTCTAAGAGTTTGATAGTTTCTGGCCTTACATTTAGGTCTTTAATCCATTTTGAGCTTATTTTTGTGTATGGTGTTAGGGAGTGATCTAATCTCATACTTTTACATGTACCTGTGCAGTTTTCCCAGCACCACTTATTGAAGAGATTGTCTTTTCTCCATTGTATATCCTTGCCTCCTTTATCATAGATTAGTTGACCATAGGTGTGTGGGTTTATCTCTGGGCTTTCTATCCTGTTCCATTGATCTATATTTCTGTTTTTGTGCCAGTACCATATTGTCCTGATTATTGTAGCTTTGTAGTATAGTCTGAAGTCAGGGAGTCTGATTCCTCCAGTTCCATTTTTTTCCCTCAAGACTGCTTGGGCTATTTGGGGTCTTTTGTGTCTCCATACAAATTTTAAGATTTTTTGGTCTAGTTCTGTAAAACATGCCACTGGTAATTTGATAGGGATTGCATTGAATCTGTAGATTGCTTTGGGTAGTATAGTCATTTTCACAATATTGATTCTTCCAATCCAAGAACATGGTATATCTCTCCATCTGTTGGTGTCATCTTTAATTTCTTTCATCAGTGTCTTATAGTTTTCTGCATACAGGTCTTTTGTCTCCCTAGGTAGGTTTATTCCTAGGTATTTTATTCTTTTTGTTGCAGTGGTAAATGGGAGTGTTTCCTTAATTTCTCTTTCAGATTTTTCATCATTAGTGTATAGGAATGCAAGAGATTTCTGTGCATTAATTTTGTATCCTGCAACTTTACCAAATTCATTGATTAGCTCTAGTAGTTTTCTGGTGGCATCTTTAGGATTCTCTATGTATAGTATCATGTCATCTGCAAACAGTGACAGTTTTACTTCTTCTTTTCCAATTTGTATTCCTTTTATTTCTTTTTCTTCTCTGATAGCCATGGCTAGGACTTCCAAAACTATGTTGAATAATAGTGGTGAGAGTGGACATCCTTGTCTTGTTCCTGATCTTAGAGGAAATGCTTTCAGTTTTTCACCATTGAGAATGATGTTTGCTGTGGGTTTGTTGTATATGGCCTTTATTATGTTGAGGTAGGTTCCCCCTATGCCCACTTTCTGGAGAGTTTTTATCGTAAATGGGAGTTGAATTTTGTCAGACGGTTTTTTTGCATCTACTGAGATGATTATATGGTTTTTCTTGTTCAGTTTGTTAATATGTTATATCACATTGATTGATTTGTGTATATTTGTGTATATTGAAGGATCCTTGCATCCCTGGGATAAATCCCACTTGATCCTTTTAATGTGTTGTTGGATTCTGTTTGCTAGTATTTTGTTGAGGATTTTTGCATCTATACTCATCAGTGATATTGGTCTGTAATTTTCTTTTTTTGTAGTATCTTTGTCTGGTTTTGGTATCAGGGTGATGGTGGCCTCATAGAATGAGTTTGGGAGTGTTCCTTCCTCTGCAATTTTTTGGAAGAGTTTGAGAAGGGTGGGTGTTAGCTCTTTTCTAAATGTTTGATAGAATTCACCTGTGAAGCCATCTGGTCCTGGACTTTTGTTTGTTGGAAGATTTTGAATCACAGTTTCAATTTCATTACTTGTGATTGGTCTGTTCATATTTTCTATTTCTTCCTGGTTCAGTCTTGGAAGGTTATACCTTTCTAAGAATATGTCCATTTCTTCCAGGTTGTCCATTTTATTGGCATAGAGTTGCTTGTAGTAGTCTCTTAGGATGCTTTGTATTTCTGTGGTGTCTGTTGTAACTTCTCCTTTTTCATTTCTAATTTTATTGATTTGAGTCCTCTCCCTGTTTTTCTGGATGAATCTGGCTAAAGGTTTATCAATTTTGTTTATCTTCTCAATGAACCAGCCTTTAGTTTTATTCGTTTTGCTTTGTTTTCTTTGTTTCTATTTCATTTATTTCTGCTCTGATCTGTATGATTTCTTTCCTTCTACTAACTTTGGGTTTTGTTTTTTCTTCTTTCTCTAGTTCCTTTAGCTGTAAGGTTAGATTGTTCATTTGAGATTTTTCTTGTTTCTTAGAACTGCTTTTGCTGCATCCCATTGGTTTTG